AAAAATAGCAAAACAACGCCAATACAGAGTGGATAAGACTGGCGGTTTAGATGGTATGGTCTGTCAAATGATCACATCAAATTGGATCGGGTCGGATATATGGCAATCAAATTAATGGCAATCAAATAAAATAAGACAGAGTGGATAAGATCCAATATAAGGTAATCAAATCAAATACGACAAGATCGGGTCGGTTAACATAAGAACGGATGACGTTGGATAAGGTGGGGGATCAAATGGCTGCCACGTCAGCTTACGTAATTGGCTCAGATTGGATAAGGAGGAGGAGATAAGATTGAGCATGCGCGCTAGCTAACCTGTAAGCCGCCGCTTTCTCGTCTCGCGGTCGCGGAAAACTTGTGACGTCAACGGTAGTTCCTACCGCCGCTGCTCGATAATCACGACCAGGTCAGGCTCTCCTCTCCTATGCTGACGTGTCGTCGCCTGGATACCGACACGCTCTATTGCAAGATCCAATGCACAGTATGCACGTAAGGTGTTTTTTTTTTTTGTTTTTTTTTTTTTATGGCTTTTGATTTCAAGATCGGATTAGATAAACAAAAATCGGACAACGTTGGATAATACGGTCGTCTTCACCCGAATAGAGCGCCCGGTCATTCCCACTGCATCTAGACTGACAGTTGGGCCAAATGCAGCTATAATGCCCGGGCGTTTTATTCGGGTGAAGACGGTAGTTGCCACGTCAGCTATGTTTTCGGATCACCGCTTTATTGTCCTGGTCTTCGTTCGCCCATGGCCCGAACTGCGATAGTCCTGTGACGTCCCCCCCGCCAAGGAAAAAAAAACTGTGACGTCAACGCTAATTGCCACCGCCCCCCACAAGCACGATCAGGCTAGGCTCGCCTATGCTGACGTGTCGCACCCGTCTTCCCCGGTATAGGATGTACGGTTACGATGGCTGTATTTCGTGCAACTTTGAGCACAGATACGTACATTCTGTTCGGGGAAAGACGGGTACCGACGTGTTCTGTTCGAGGCCCCGGCTCGTCCCCGATAGGTAGTTCAACGAACGAGCTGCAGGTATCCGGCGCTGAGTTTGGGTCGAAGGAACAAGAATAGCACATAGCCAAATCATCCCCCCGCCCACTGCTATACATTGTTCTGTACAATTCGCAGCCCTTAGGCTGCGGTATAGAGGGCTTCCGCGTCTGTGTCAAGGTGTCGCATTTTTGGGGGCGGGCGACCAGGACGCAAAGTGGGTTCTTAGGGGGCAAAAAAATTTGGGGGACCGGTCCTTGGCAAAACTGCGGACTACCTACAGCTAGCTCTGCTAGAACCGGGACTTTTGGAAAAACGAAGGGCCGGTCCTCGGGTGGAAGTGGACCCCAAAAAGAAGTGGGGGGCGTTTGACCAGACCCCGGGTAGAAGCGGACCCCAAAAAGAAGAGAGGGCATGTGAACTGCAAAAGGGCCATCAGGCCCAGGCAT